TCGACGTGGGCTGCGCCAGCCCAGAGGAGCGCGCGCGGGTGCTGGCGGCGGGCATCACGCTCTACGACAAGGCGCTGAGCTACGGGCAGCAGGTGGGTGACTCCTCCCCGGGATGGGGGGGGGGCTGAGGTTGTGGTCCCCAAAGTCTGCAAGGCTGTTCCCGCAACCCCCCATAGACAACGCAAACCCTGGCCCCTGGGCTTCCAGAGAACCTTTCCAATGTCCCTCTCCTCTCAGCCTCGCCCGTGGGGCCCAGACCAGCTCTGTAACTTTTCTCCGCTGGGCCAGGGGCGGGCCCTCTTCCTAGTGGGGCAGCTGCCGTAGATTTTTATTCTGGCAGCACCACAAACTCCACTTGACTAACTCATCCCTCTCATCCTGCCCCTCCCAGCAAGTAACTGTCCACCTGCCTGTGCACACCCACCCACGGAAAAGGCACCCCGGGGACACCGCGCCAGACACCTGGGCAGCATTCTTACCTCCTCTCTCCCCTTCACCCCCATCCCCACCCATTCAGACCTCAAATCCTGTCCATTCTGCCTCCTCGTATCTCTGAGGTCTGTCCGCTCCTCTCCAGCCTCCCTCCGCCAGCCCAGCCTCCATCAGTCCCTGCCTGAACCGGTCCATCATCCTGTCTGGGTTCCTGCCCTCTGGTTTGACCTTCTGCCTCGTCCTCCACCTGCAGCCAGTTCATGTTCTCAATCTTGCTACCCCTGCTCCTCAGCTGCTTACAATCACCTGGAGGCAGTGACTCCCACTGCCTGGCAGACAAGTCCCAGGCTTTGCAGTGGGCATGGGAGGCCCTGCGTGATCACAGCCCCCTTTGCCACGGCCCCTCCCAGCCAGGCTGTTCCTGTGGTCTGCTTCCCCTGGCCCCCCTGAGCCAGGTCTCCTTGCACCCATGTTGTCACTCTCTCAGCCTCTTCCCGAGGTGCCTTCTGCTCACCTTTGCCTGGAAGGTTCTCCTCTCCTTGCACCCACGTTGTCACTCTCTCAGCCACTTTCTGAAGTGCCTTTCTGCTCACCTTTGCCTGGAAGGTTCTCCACAGTCTCAGACATCCCTCCACTCACTCCTCCAGGCTGGGTCGGTGCCTCCCTGGGCTCCCATAGCACTGCTCACGTCGTCCATTTACAAGTCAGTCTCTCCAGCTCAACCTTGAGGTCTTTGAGAGTGAGGACATTTGCCTGGCTTACCACTGTACGTACACCCCATGCCTGGTACACCCCATGCCTGGTACACAGTAGACTCACTAAATGTATCTTGAATGAATGTAGGTGCAGCATAAGGCCTGGCACTAAATAGACAAATACTAGGTATACTAGTTACCTATTGCTGCATAACAAATACTAGTACCCTCCAAAACTTAGCATCTTAACGCAAGAAGCATGTATTATCGCAGGGTTTGGTGGCTTAGCTGGGTGCACCTGGGCTGTGGTCTCATCTGAAGGTTTGCTCGCTCTCCTTCCAAGCTCGTTCCGATGGCTGTTGACAGGATTCAGTTCCTCACCGGCTGCAGCCAGAGGCCTCCCTCAAATCCTTGCCATGTGGACAGCCATCATTTTTACTACATTCTGCTCAGCAGAAGCGAGTCGGTAGGTCTAGTCCACACAGAAAGGAGGGAATTCCACGGGGCACGAATATCAGGAGGTAGGGATCCCTGGGCGCCATCTCAGAGGCAGCCTGCTTTGGATGACCAGCGAGTAGAGGCCTTGTCCTCCTTCCTACAGAGGAGAGGACCTCCGTTCAGAGAGGTATGGTGATTTTTCTATGAAGGCACAGCACAGGCAGAGTTGAACTGATAACAATGACATTTTATTATGGTTTAGATTTGTGATATTTAAATAACAACACTCCTCACACAGGGCTCCACTCACAAAGCCTCTGTACATCCCCTTAGAGCAGTGGTTCTCAACCTTGGCTGCACATTAGAATCACCTGGGAATCTTTTTAAAATCCTGATTTCTGGGCCTCATCCTCCAGAAATTCTGTTTCTTTGTTATGGGGTGGGGCCACAACATTAGTAACAAAGAAACAGAATTTCCGGAGGATGAGGCCCAGAAATCAGGATTTTAAAAAGATTCCCAGGTGATTCTAATGTGCAGCCAAGGTTGAGAACCACTGCCTTAGAGCCTTTTCCATCAAAGCTCTTGGCTTCAGAGAGGAAATGTGGAGTCCAGGCCTCAGGGGGTGCAGGGTGGAGCACAGGCGTTTAACTTGAGGAGCAGTACAGGGTGGAGATGAAGTTGGTACTCAGTCAGGGGGTCCGGTCCAAATCCCAGCTCCCCCATGCTCTCTCACCTCCGTCCGTCCTTAGCGTCCCTGGACTTGTTTCCCTCTGTAAAATGGGGATATAATGGTTCTGAGGTCCTTGGCTTCCTCGTCTGTTAAATGGGGACATTCTCGTCTGGCTGATGTCATAGCTAAGAGCTGATATTTGGGAGGCACCTGGAATAGAGCCTGCACAGAGACGGCAGGATCACAGACAGCCCCTGCCTCTCCCGGCCTGAGGGGGTCACCTCTGCCCACACTGGGTGCAGCTGTGGCCACTCAAGGGGCCAGCAGGGGCCCAGGTCTCCTGTTTTAAAGCCCGAGGCCCTGAGTGACAGCTGCCCTCAGTGGGAAGGCATGGCCAGCATGTTTGTGTTGAGTGTGGTCTCAGCAGCAGAGTGGGGCCTACGCCCTGGGCTGGGAGCCAGGAGGCCTCCTCCTGCCTGGGCTGTGGTTTCCCCATCTGTGAAAGGGAGAGAGGGACGGGGGAGGGTGGTCTCCAAGGTCCCCTCCTGCTCTCCGGAAGGGGCTCCTGGGGAAGGCTTCCTGGAGGAGGGGAGCAGGAAGGCAGAGGTTTGGGGGTAGGGATGGAATGGAGGCTGGCTCCTCCCTCCCTGGTGGGGCCACCTACCTAGTGAGGGACCTCCCAGAGGAGAGAGTGTCGTGCAGGGCGTTGCCCAGCGCCCCAGGGAGAGAGCTGATTGCATAGGTGGGAGGTGGCCACCAGCCTGTGTGCTGTGTCCTCAGGCCTGGCCCAGCCATTGCTCCCCAGGTCTGGACAGAGGGGCTGTGGTCAGTTCCCCCCAACAAATCCCAGGAGAAAGTTGGGGGTTTGGAGCTCCCCATTTCATCATCCGGGGATTAGAAGAGGTTGTGCTTGTAAAGTAGCTGGCACAGAGTAGGTGCTCAAGAAATAGCTACAGTCAGCATCATGACGATGACTCCATTATAGTCAGAGGAAGGGGGCTTGGGGTGGAGCCCCCAGCTCTCATTATTTTGCTGTCACTTTCGTCTCTGGCCTCAGTGTCTGCTTCATGAACATTAAACAATAGTGATCTCGCTTTACTGGTTATCCGAGTGAATCGTCAGGTGAAAGTGCATAAACTGGTCAATTCTGGGCATGTCTGAGAGGCACATACTCAGCATCTTAATATGACTGAGCACCTGCTGCATGCCAGGCCCTGTCTTTAAGCAGCTCACGGATAAAGGGTGGAGATATTTCTTCATTAACTAGACTTGCCTGGGCCCATCCTCTGGGAGCAGGAGCCAAAGAGACAACTACCTACGACTGGCTGAGGTCACAGGCATTCATGGCGTGGCCTGTGCCAGGTGACAGTCATCTCCGGGTGCTGTACACCAAAGACCATACTTTCTGAACCAAAAGTAGGCCCCCTGGTTGACAAGGGACGTGGACTCTGTGGACATGGGACCAGTGTCGGAGTCAGCAGTGCCCTGAGCGTCCAGGTCCTGGAGATGGAGGGCAGTGCCTGCGTCAGGAGGAGGAGCACTCCCTCTCAGCTCCAGTGGCTGAGGGCGGCTGGGAACAGGCAGGAGTGGGCTGATTGGCAGGAAGGAGGTGAGGGCATGCCCAGCAGAGGGCCTGGGGGGACCTGCAGAGCCCCAGGGCTTTGGTGACACCCACACTGGAGCAGGGGTTAGGCCCAGAAAGGGGCAGCCAGAGCTTCAGGGGGAGGAGCACCGGACAGCCCTGAAGAACGACTGCCCACTCCCTGGAATCTGGGTCCCACCCTCCTCTTTGCCACAGTTCCTCCTACTCCCCTGGAATCTACGTGCCAGCGAGTTTAAACTACTTATCCTTCTCCAAACACACGGTGCTGTCTCATACCGCCCTGCACAGCTATGGTGCCCTCTGCCTAGAAAGCAGACTCCATCCATGAAGACCCAGCTCAAATGTCACCTCCCCCTTGAAGCCTTCCTTGCTCCCACACACAGCTTCCCACAGTCATATTCACGAATATCTTCTGTAGGTGCCTTCCAGACTTTATCCTAGGCAGTCCTAGACAGTCCTCACAAGAACCTCTGATCCCATTTTACAGATGTGGGAACTGAGGCACAGCCAGGCTAAGTAACTTGCGCCAGGTCACTGTAAGTGGCAGTTGAATCCACCTATTCTGCCTGACTTCAAACCATCTGCTCTTTCTGGAGAAGTCAGA